AAAACTGGCTTAATTTTTAGCTTCCGAGGTCAGTTTGAAATCAAAATTTTAATTGTGCGGCACATATAAAACACAACATATTTCATATGAATTAAAAAAAAATAAACTTGAGCCTGCAATCATTTGAAAACTAGTAACTTGTCAGCGGATAACTTCAAAAAGATACTCGACCTCGATGGGTCGACACCTGAGCCCGCGATACGGTCAGGTGATACTGGTCAGCGGATACCCTGTTTTGACAACTGTCAATTGATCACAACATTGATGTGCAATATGTCTGCAATATCAGTCTTCCTGTGCTCCCAAACCAGCTAGAAAGTGTGAGATTGAACATTGGTTCCCCTGTGGTGCGGACGGACGGGCGGGCGGGCGGTGTACGGTTACGTGATTACCAAATTTTCTGAGATGGGTAGATTTACTTACCCATGGTGCTCCGCAGGCGCGCTTCGCGCGCCAGAGCTCCGCTATAAAGCCGTGGATGGCCACAGAACTAACAAAAACTGTGTGCGCACGGGCCCGATGCCCAAATAAGTGCCCCGGTACAAGGTCGAGTCCTTGTACTCGGGCACCGGCACTTTGCCCAAATTCTAGCGTGAGTACGCTTGAAAAAAGGGTGTGTTCACATTAGTGCCCAGTGAGTACCGTACTCAGGCACCGTGTCTGTGAACGCTGCCTTAATTTTTCGCGTGCAACAAAGGAAATAGGACACGTCTGCCGGCAAGCAGGCTATTTGATCCATTGATGTCAAATTCAGCTTTTAACAAGAATCGCCGAAAGGCGGTTTTTAACTGGGCTGCCAAGGGGCTATTTTTCCTGAGGGGAGGGGGCGGCTATACACTTTCAGGCTACCATAAAACCTTGTCGCCGACCATTGCGTGAAACAGAATCTCTTGTGAGACTGAAACATAAACTCATTCAGAACATTGTACCCTTATGAAAGACCTTCGTACCCAAAAAAATGAGTACCATTTTTAAGTGAGGGCTGTATAATAACTTTTAATTTCCACCATTATGATCAAACAAGTTAGCCATTAATTTCAAGCAGGAAACAATTTTCATTATTTTCACGCCCCCCTCCCCCCCCCCCCCCCCCCCCACCCCCAATCCCCCCAAAAAAGAGCGGAAAGAAAAAAAAAATAATCTTTTTCACGAAAGAAACCCAAAAAATTTTTCCATTGTCTATAAAAAAAACAGACAGGACAACACAAACCCCCTCGCAGGTACTTACACGATAGACAAAATATAT